TCATGATTAACAAAATGACTGTTGAAATGAAACAAGTCTCTCACATTCATTGTATATTGTATTGTTATCAGAAATAACATCTCGGTTCTGGAAATATATGTGCACACCTATCAAGGTTATAAACAAGACTCTATGGTCCAGTAATATAAGAATAAATAAAATTGCACGCCTGTTTTACGGTGTCCTTTCAAGTGGTATTCGTCTACACAAAATATCACAGGCATCTAGCATTACTGACTGCATGGCATATCAAGCACCACTTATTTCTCAGCACTATTCATATCCAACTATCTTAGTCACAAAAAGACCACCGAACATAGTCACAATACATGGGTTCATAAATTCTCATTTTGTTCTTCATTTCATTACTACACTCAGTTTATGTAATTGAGCAGAATAATGGTATCGAACTGGTCTTCTGTTGAGTTCCCTGCCCCATAGTCGTTCAGTATAGGTGAATAAAAATGCTTTCAGATATGAGAATGGATGGTAACCGGGTGATTGGTTTGTTCGAGTCTGTTATTGCACTGAGTAGCCAACCAGGAATATAAACAGTGCAGTGAGGGAGAAATGTTTCCCCACTGAAGTGGATTTCTAGTTTTTTTTATCCAAAAACTATCAGGATAAATAAGTGTCTGATAAAGTCTACTTCGCACAACTGAAATAACTCTTCTCCTTCTATACATATAATCCTTAGCAAACAGCCTATATTTCCGAGCAAGTTGTACAGTAACTGATTGTCATGCCATCTTATAAAATGTGCGAATGCTTTCCATAAATATACAGACAATGTGATGCTTGACCGATATAGTTGTAGAGGAGTCTTACTTCCCACTGTGCATGAGTGTAAATCTGTTGATGTACACTCGAAATGAATGAGTCATTCATCCTTTATTAGAAGATAAGAATCTCAATTGATGGGTCATGCTACCGGAAAGAAGTGCTTGCTTGATGATGTGAGTAGCAACTGATGTTTTTCAGTATTTCCTGCTGCATTAACTGTAGAATAAGTTTTTGTATCAGGAATACTGTGTTTTCTTCAAACAGCCCGACTTCTATTTCAACCGAAATAATATCCTTACCTGCCATTTTGCGTGTGCCCTTGCAATTAGACAATTAACTTTTGTGCAAATGTAATGATCAAGTTATTCAATATGTGTCATCGAAAATGCGAAGGACATGAAGAGTCAATTAGGTTAAGGATTGAAGATGTTGGTCAATTTATTAAGGGAAGTAAAAAGAAAATTTGTTTGAGAAAGCGCATTTCTGGCTTCTACTTCCTTATAGCCATGACTTCATCAATCGATGGTAGAAACTTATTCACACCATTATTAGCCTCTTCTCTGATACTCAGCTCACTTTCGACAAATTTTCTTAAACAGAACCTCTGATTACTCAGCCATCTCGAAAGTAGTTCACGAGGATATTCACCAGTCTGCATAGATGCGCTGCCTACATGCCCAGATCTTCTAGACCACGTAAACTGATATATACACACAGGACTAAAACTCAGTCTCGGAAAATTAGCTGGTTGTATTCCTATTCCTATAAAATATAAAAACATACTCTTCATAAAAGGAAGCCCTCCACCTCATTGTCAACTCTGACTGGTGCACCTCAAGAAATCATACCTTCAACCTGTCTCTTCTCTTCCTTTATACATGACCTACCTACCATACTAAACAAGTATCAATCCCATCAAATATCCTCATGACCTACCTAACAGTTCCCATACCTGTCTCCTCTTCAACAGATCCTTCTCAACTCAATGATCTCCGATCGAATCTCTACTGTTACACCATGGTCCTCCACAAATGGTCTTTTCCTTAATTCTTCAAAATATCAGACTATAAACTTCAGTTTTAGACGTGAACATAACCTATGCAAACTGCTCACTTCACATGATTCCTGTTCTATTGATAGTTGTGCACTAGAAAATGTTACAAGCGTGATTTATCTCTGCGTGTGTGTGCATGTGTTTGCCTTCGGACCACATTTCCTCGTCCTCCCATATCTTACTCATCTCCATATAAGGAACCTCAGAGTATCTGCTATCACTCAACATCTCAACTCATGTTTTATAAACTCAAGCATCTTGCCTACCCTCCTTTACTCTTTCACCGGTTGTTGAAAAAACTATGCTATTTTGCGTACAACTTTGAAGATTGTCACCACAACTACTGCTCTACCTCTAAACCTCATAGTTAAAACAGTTGTGGACAAACATGTTAGTTAACTCATGTAGACATCTGCTAGGAGTTATTTCATCAAATGACTACCATCATCTTCACTCAAAGCGCTCTATGTGTCGGTCATCTTGAAAAACAAGGAGCAAATAAATAAGACTTTATGCACAAACTACTAAATATAAAAACTCTACAATACCGTATTTACCTCGTATCCTGTGCAATGATGAAGAAAGTGTCAAAAATGAACTAACTAGTCAATTTCTGTTCTTGAAAGTAAATCAACTGATAAGTACACAGCATGTTACTATTTATATATGTCATACATCTAATTGGTAATGTGATCGTCTACCCAAATTAACTATGCACTTTCAAGAAAGTTGTAGACAGAGTGAATATTCTTATCTTTCTTATGAGATTTATACTTGTTTCATTTTGTTATATATACATGAACACTGTTTCTGTCCAACTGATGCTATATAACAACATGCAGGAAACTCAGTAAAGTATTCCCAAAATAACTTCCAGAATAAAACCATTATTGGCATTACCATTAGTATTATTATTATTATTATTCGATAGCCGAAACTATAACATCTCGAGCCACAGATGTGTGCAGTGTTTATGAAACACGTATACAGCACCCAAATGCGGTTATCCACTTAACCTCACCCGGTCCATATGGAGTAGGTAAAACGTAAAATTTTAAGGCAGAAAGTTCACTACTCAACTAGATATCAAGTGACACCCGCTTGCAAATAGTGGAACTCACCGTCACATCTTTGTTATCTCTCCTTACGCACCCATTGACTGCAGTTCGGCCGAAGTGAAGGATTAGTTCTACCGAAAACTATCTAGTCTCCTGCCTTGAGTAAAAAATTTAAGATAAGGTTGTACCAGCGGGTGATTTCAGTACACAGATGAATAAGTTGTCAGGCAGAAAGACACAATTTCGGAATCCCTGCCAAACGAACAGATAACGGCGATCACCTGCTACAACTGTGCTCAGACGATCGTTTATTTCTCGCCATCACAAAATCCAAACATAAATACAGAAATTGCCTGACGTGGTGTCCTAAATAAAGATCAGAAAGACTCAGTCAATTTCTGAAATAATATGTACATGAACGCATTGCTGCAGATCTTCAGTTCTAGTCAGGACTTAGACTCGACCGTGGGTGTATCAACCAGATATTCACGCTAGGTCTAAGAACAAAGACACACTTACTCTAGAACACTAAACGCAAGAAAACTATGCAGGTGCATGAAACACATTTTAGCTGAAACATGTTATGCACAGCGTTTTGTTAAACTTTCGAAAGAAAGACAACTGATATACCAATAGCAAGGCTTTTATATGTTATAGCTGAACAAGTCTATTGTGCACTCTGCATCATGGAATGGACGATGTATGATACTTAAACAGCACAGCTTCATAAAACAACCAATTAATGTTTTAAAAATATGCAAAGAAACTACACTTTATAATTATGACCAGCTGTAGAGTTTTATGAAGAAAGATTAGATCAAAATAATCTAAACGGCATATTGCTAAAAAAAAAAGTTGAAACATTTGGTGATTAATTTAATATCAAATTTAACATTGCCATTTTCTCGCAATTTTCGACTACATTGTCATTGTTTTATGATGTCGTTCAAACCTAATGATTTTCTCAGGAATCACGGCTGAAACTTTCCACTTCATTGTAATATAGCTGGTACAGAAGTCAAATATTCTAATCTCTCAGTGTGACGCGGATTCGAGTTTCACAGGAGACATTAGTTCCCTGGATGCTGCAGATGCGCCTTGCTAAAATGTACCAACAAGCACGAAACCTGGGTCCAATGCTTCCTATCGATTGTCTTCAACCAACTAGCGCCGAGTATTTCATCTCTTTCCAACAGGCTATTTCCATCCCAGGTTTGTGACTGAAGATTTCCAACTAAAACCATGTATATCCTCTGCGTCCATTGATTCTGTACCGGATTACTATACTTATCTTTTAGATTGCTTTCATAGACTCGAATTCAATGAATTTAAAGGTTTTGTTTCATCATGTGCTTAAAAAGTTAGTCAGGTATACAATTTACTCTTATTCGCGATGATTAATATGCTACATGAATTCAAGCATTATCTAATTGCTGTCCTTCTATCATGTACATCTATATAATATGAAGAGAGCTAAGAAAAAATCCAAAAAAATCTTCAGTTCCAGTAGCATCATAACTGCACACTGTTGTCAGGAAATTGATATGTTTCGTAAAATTTCACTGACATACATTCGACTCTACTTCAAATATAAGCAGATTTGATCAGCGGTCCCACTCAACATCACTAATGCATGCTTACAGACAAATACGAGAAATCTCACTGTTTGTCTAACCTATCACTGATACTTCAGCTCCAAAACTCAAGAAACTAATCAAAATATTTCCAATCTATCTTTTTTTTTCACTCCCTTCAACTTTTCAAAAAGGAGTTAAAACAGATGAAGCAACTACTGCTTTTTATAACAACACCAATAACTGATACGATATGCAGTACATATCAATAACCACGTGAAATTTTCTGCAATGGATTATATGTCCTATATTATTCAAATGTACATTCTAGATATGAACCCATGAACAAACCAGCCAAAATTAAGTACCTAAAAGCGATGAATCATAGCTTTACAAGATGAAACCTGGGGGCTCTATAAATGAAATAAAGAAATAAAAATTTTATGTCGAAAATGGCGATGCATAACTGTGAAAGCAAGGCGTGAGTTTTAACCAACTTCGTTATTGTCCATATATTTAAAAGATGTAAGATTAAATTAAAAGTGGTTTATTAAAATAATAACAGCACACTAACTTGATGTGTGTGAATTTGGCAGCGATAAAAACTGCGATGAAAAAAATAGCGACAAAAACATTTATTTTCAATACAAATAACGATCAAAAATGACATGTGATCATCTACTAAATAACTAATGATTATGAAAGCGTACACGTTATTGCCAAACAAGAGTACAATTTGAAAAGAAATAACAGTGAAATGAATAAAAAAAAGTAACTTCTAATAAAACTAGTTACAAGGTCATGAATTCGAATACCCTACGAATGTCTAACTTTATTCATAGATGCAAAAAGAGAATTTGGATTGCTGAGTAAATCTTGTGGATGTCCAGTTTCCACCACTTGTCCGTGATCCAATACGACAATCCTACAGGGAAATAAAAAAACTTTTAAAAATCATTCGAATGTTTTAAAATATGGTGAACAAACGTAGGCGATATTCAAGAACTCCAACCTATCCAGTTGCTAGCATAAATGTTCTATATTACCAACAGCAAATAATACGCTATATTACTGCCTAACAAGATAGCAATAGCATGCGGCAACACTGTAGTTGTGAAAAAACAACTAACATGGTTATACTATCTTTTCATACGGTCAGTGAGCATTAACAAACCAGAGCGACTAATATTCTGAGGTCGGGATTGCCATTTCGTTCAAAATGGTCATCTATTCAAACTCATATTAAGGATGCTACAATTCTCCTCAATCACATATAACCAGAATGTTATCACTTGAAATGAAAGGGTGAAACCTAGCGACTAGGATTGATCAAAGCCTCAGTGGATATATAGTGCACTCAACAGGCTGAGAACCTTTAGTCCAAAACATCAGACAGAGCATCTTAGTCACCACAATTCACTTTAAGTCAGGTCATCCGAAATTTCCATGCAACTTGTAGCAATACAATACCACAAAAACCGCTTCATAAAATACATTTGCTGTAGATGTGATAAACGTAACTCTATATTCAAAGATTTTGCATGGCTTTATTAAATTACAAAAAATGAATATCTAGTAAATCGCAACAAGCAAAACTGAAGTTTACATCCAATTCAAACAGACAAATTATACAAATATGCGATTGGCTTCAAAACCCTACTTACCTGTCCGTATTCATTACAGTGGACAATCGATGGGCGATTATAATAACAGTGGCATCCTTGAATCGATCACCTACGACTGTATTCATGACTAATTCATCTGTAGATGGATCCATCGCTGCTGTGGCTTCATCAAGAATGAGCAATCGAACGTGACCACTAGAAGACAAGAAAACTCTGGCTAAACATACAAGTTGTCGCTGACCAGCCTTTAAAAGAAAAAAACAAGCAATGTAATCTACAGATGTGAAGAAGTAACGTTCTGCAGTAAAGCTTGCAACTTTCATTTCAAGAAAAGTAATGTTGAACAAATCCTAAAACCACCGTGGTCGATGGGTAAAGGTGAAGATAAACCACTTAGAGGATACTCCAGTGATAGGAGCCGCAACATTTCTCAGATTTCTAAAATAAGCTGAAAGTGCCAACTAGTGATGATGTATTAAATATACCCAGACTTTCATTAAGATGTTGTAATAAAGTGTTACACCTTTTCAGAATCACTTCACAGGAATGCACTAACCGCCTACATATTATGTTTACTATGCGAAAAATAAGTTTGAAAAACAATGAATAGTCGACAAATCTTTTGTCTATTTCACTCGATTTTAGGTGATAAAAAATTTATGACGTCAATAATTGACTGAAATCTATTCCTTCTATTGAATATGAAACTGTAGTGCAGTCTCACTGTACTAATTAATATATTCATAGTGTCTCTGAGAATCAAATTAGTCGAACAGCACACCAACAGAAAATAATCAGGATTGAGAGCGATAGAAATTAAAGACAGTGCCGACGAAAATTTGGAAAGATAAGAAGTGGAAACTGAAACTGAAATACAAATCGGTAAAATAAAATAGGGGTTCAGTTCAACAACACAGGATCACCTTGAGTTGACTGAATAACTTGTAGGCAGTAGACTTATCGCTAAAAGAAATCATACGTTATCGCTTCACTTTACTTCTAATATGGAGGTTATATCAATAATAATAATAATAAATCGTTGTACATCTGAAACACAATTTTTGGAATGACTTACGACAACAGAAGTTCCCCCATGCAAAAGAATAATAGTCTTTCAGTGATCCTGTCATATTGCGCTTGCCACTAGCAAATTTATCTTGAATGGTTTATGAATTCTAGGCGGTTAACCACTTACGGTAAGACATATAACAAACCTAACGAAGAAGAGGTTCTCCTCTTTGTTAAGTGGAAGTGGTTAGTTCGACATTACGAGTCAATCCTATGAATTACTTGAAACTATTATGAACTATCTATATCAGGTGTTAGATGAGCAATCTGCATCTCATTTTCAGATGGTAGTAACTCGTTGGATACCTTATTTTCTTGTAGTTGGGCGTATGATATAAAAATGGATGATCCCAAAGTGACAAAATACTGAAACATTTTCTGTGGAAAAATTTCACACTAAACAAAATGTTTCCCATGACAAACTATTGACTGATTTAATAGTATCTATCTCAGAAAAAGACTTTGTGTAGAATAAGTGTGAATATATCCTTCACTATTTTGAAGAATTATGAGTTTTTACATGTTCGACAGGTTGCAATCCACACAAAGTGACAGCAAGTGATGCAAAAAAGAGACAAACAATGAACCGCATGACTGAAACCCGAGAGTAATTACATTATACTTCAAGTGCAAATGTTTTGAATACTGGTGACAGTCAATCAAGGTAAGTGATCCTATTGTCCTTATTTATTTTTTTCCATCACCTAAGTAGTAACAACTCGAGTGGATACTCACTTTTCTGCGTAGTGCATTTTCTTCAGCATTTCAGAACGCAGCTTTCAAAGATTACTTACCTCTAGAATGTTGATACTTCCCGTGAATTGATAACTCATGTCACTTAAAATGGTATATAGACACAGTAAGATCAATGCAAATCGACAAATAAAGCATACAGAGATAGGCATAACAATCAACAGTCTCGTAAAAACGATCATCAGATAAAGCCGAACACTGAGGTTTTCACTAATATCATAACTATTCACAGATTATTGCTAGATATGAAACAAATTAGGAGAAAATCAACTCTATGCTAATATATATCGAAAACAGTAGTTTACCTTATTGTAATTGGATGAGAAGCCGCACAATCAATGTGTTTTAAAATACACAAAACACCTGGTATTGATATCATAAAGTATTAGTGAATGCTGAGTGATGTATTAGACGACAATTATTATGTGTGCAGTTACTGTCCATCGAACGTACTGTCAAGCACAACAGACAGTATAAACTTGTTAACAATTTCACTTTTAACTGTTACCACGT